TGATTATCCTCGCCAGCTGTTTGTTTTGTTGAACCACAGCAGTTTCTCCAAGTTACTGAAGTTGATGTCATTGGAAGTGATGTGACATTTTTGCACACATATAGAATAAGTGTTAAAAAATGCTCCAGAAAAGCTTTTCCAGTCTTGTCTGGGAGCTGACTGGGGAGTTGAATTAAACTGGCTTGATGGAACTTAATCCATAAAGCAAATGAGTCATCCGGCATAAATGGCTTTACCATAAATGTCAAACAAATTCTTACTGGTTGTGACAGTTAGCACTTACATCTGTTTGGAGCAAGTAAAAGCCTCACAGTTCACAATCATTTTCATAAATGTGCTGTCTTGCTTCTTCCTCTTCACTGAAGTTTCTATGAATAAAAATTGAAATTTGATTTATTTCACTTTTTTAAAACTAGCTCTTCTAGTGGATGAAATAGAGGTAATTTTCAGACAAAAATGACCTTTTTTCCGCCTCAAATTTTTGTCAAAATGGGAAACTGCAGTTGTCTCTCATGTGTGGCGAAGTATTCCAGTTATTCAAACATTATGTGTGAAATATTCCAGTTTGGGCTATAAGTTTGTTCCAGTAGAGAAAAAATCCACACCAGGGAGGCTATGCTTCCAGCTGGCACCCGAAGGCAGACTGTTAGGGAGGCCACATGTCCGAAATGAAAGAAGCCCAAGCCGCCGTTTCTGCATTGCTCCCACCAGGCAGGATGGTTAGCCAGCAGCTTCCACTGCCCTGCAGGCCACCACACTGATTGCTGCAATTGGTTCTTGTGTTTTTGGGGATAATATTCTAAGAAAATATTTATCAAGTTGCTTAAGGAACATTTAGGGCCAAGTTTATAGTAGCCCTAAAAAAAAAAAAAAAGTACAGGTGTCTCAGGCTTTACACCAGTGACACAGGTTGGGCCCCGATGGGGAGAAGATCCTGCTAGGGTGCCTTGGTGATGCTGCTCACTGCCCTTTGCAGCTTTGAGTGTGACTTGTTTTTACAAACCCTGGGAGGCTGTTTAATGGATATGGACTCTTGGCAGTGTCCCACCAACTGACCTGCTCTCCATACTCCAGGGATGGACTGCAGCAGGCCTGGAAGCGCTTTTTTGAGCCTTCTGTGTGCCCAGACAACCAACTTGTTAACGTGCCAAAAGACGGACTTGCCACGCAGTCTGCCTGGATGGACAGTGGTGGCGTATGCCATGCTGCTGATTTCTCTTTCAAAGCAATACCAGTGCACTTAACTGGCTTCCTCCCTGGCTCAGGAACTTTGTTGGAAAATAGGTCTTAAAAACCTAAATTACTTGGCTGGTAAAATCTTCAAACCGCTGTCTTCGTACAATTGTATGTTATCTGTCTTACAAAGGCTTCACAGAAAATCTCTAGCTGGGGTGTGTGTAAAGGGGAGTTAAATTAGTAGGGTTTTTTTTTTTTTATATCTCTGCTCTTGTTGAAAGAAGCAGGCACTGAAATAGGAGAGAGGCTTGAATATTCTGTGTTACCATAACGGTGAAACAAATAGGTGCCTCAGCGTAAAGAGTGCAAAGGGAGCGGAGCTGGCTGCCGCCTTTGTCAGTCCACCCTAGGGCTGGGGGACCGCTATCTCTTGGCAATATTTATTAGCGGCAACACACTTGAGAGGACACAAAAGGTTTGCAAACCTCCCAGCACAGCTTGCTCTATTTAAAGTCAGCTTTTTAAATCAAAGAAATGGAGGTTCTTGACAGTGGAGCTTTGTGCATCTTTTGTGAAGTTCAGATAGTGGGGCTTTTTATTACAGGCTAAATTAGCCCATTTTATTGTTTTGCACTGAAGGATGAGGTCAGTTGACGAGGAATCTTGCTAACAAGGTTTTACTCCTGTCTTCCTTTTATAAGTGTTAACACAGGGTATCCACCAATGCCTGGCAGTTGCTGTTAATGAAACAAGGATGAATGGTCTTGCAGCCCCTTGAGTCTCTCCTCCTTCCCCTGCCATTAACTGCTCAACCCATCTCAGTGTACGTGAGCTCAGACAACGACCCCTAGGGCTCTCATTCCTCCAAAATCTGGTGTGTTGATTTTCCATACGGTTTTATGTGCTTGCACGTTGTCATTGGAGCAACAACAGAAGGATGAACTCTGCTGGGCAGGGTGATTGATAGGATTTGAAAAGGAAATGGGAAAATAGCAGGCATGTTGAGGGACATTCGTGGAGCATAGTGAGCCCTGAAGGAGCAGTTTGATGCGGCGCATGCTTTTTTCTGGCACCCTTAGCATACTAATTTTGTTCAGTTACACACTGATTTTCTTAGGCTCTGAACTCAGAGCTAACAGGAGACTTCCTTTGTTCTTCCTCCTACCGGTCAGCTTGGCAGCGACTGCAGGGCCAACGTGGTCCTTGGTGTATTGAGCATTGCTCAGTGTTTCAGCCATGGTCCCCGGGTCCTGGTCTTGCAGACAATGTCCCTTCCAGCTGCTGGGACATCCCTTTGCAAGAGAACTCAGCTCCTGTTTTGCTGCATGAAAGCAGCTGAGGATTGAGCCAGGATTTCTTCCCATACGTACCTCAGGACCTGCAGTCAGCTGAGCCTAAAAGCAAACTTAGCTTTAAAAAATTCTCTTCCGCTTAACCTTTTGCACTGTGTTTAGCCAACATGCCTTTCTGTGCTTTATCTGCTCCTCAAGGAAACAGAATTTTAGTTCTGGTCACTTATAGGATATAGACTATCAGCTCTCCTTGAGGTGTAAATCCATGCTTATCAGGAAGAAAAAGCTTTCAGCCTTCCTTCCTTGCCTCTTGGAGACAAGTATCAGGTCTGCTTTTGTGGCTGTTTTATTTCAACTTATCCCAGGACAGAGGGACACTCCACAAAGCTTTATGGAACCTGGGCAGTTTTAACCACCAAGCTGAGAGAAGGGCACACAGGGCCTAATTCAGTTGACAACGAAGGATAGAACTGGTTGAGACCCCGTATGGGGAAACGGAAGCTAAAAAGATATTCACGTCGCCAACTGAAGCAAATTACTTTAGCAAGGTAAGCTACAGGATGCTGGGCAAGCATCCTGTACCAGAGACACCTCCAGTGGAGCAACCTGTCTTGCGTGTCCTGAATTGCCCTTGGAGGAGCTTGTCCCTCCAGCGCAGATGGGACTGATGTTATATGGTGTGAGCAACCCCCCAGCTCCCCCAAATCTGTTTGACACTGTGCAAGGTTGCTGTGAGCACACCATAACTCGGTTCCCTGTGCAGATCTCACTATCGGTCATACTGCGGTTAATATTTTGTGAGAAAAATGCTTGGTGTTTTCTGACTGTTCTCCTAATGTTGCATCCCCACTTTGGTGGTTAGACTGAAAAAAACATGTGACAATAGCGACAAAAATAAACTCCCTAAAACGAACAAGAAGAAACGAGAAGGGGGATGAAAGACTTTTTCTGATCTAAAACAGTAATTGAAAACCACTTTGCAGACATTTCTGTTAATTTTGAAAAGGTTAGTCACGGGAAATTGTGACTAATAAGCTTAAACTAATACTCAATTTTAGGATAGCTTGCATAATTGTTGAGAGCTGCCCAGATATTGCAGAGAACGAATATGGAGAAATGAATGCAATAACATGGAGCAGGGCAGGATGGGTCTGGGTCCACACAGCTCCTTGCAGTCCTTTCTACCTTATGGACTTCTGCCAAAAAAGTAAACAGCTTTTTTTTTTTTTTTTGAAAGTGAAGTAGGTGGTGTTGGTAGTGTGCGTTCATATGGCATCACGTGCCGATCGCTTGGAGGGCTGAATTCCTCCCTGGGCCTGGCTCCTCCCACAGATGGAGTGGGCGCAGCTTGCATGCACAAAAGCAGATCTGGCCTGTTGTTTCAAAAATATACTTTGGTTTTCCATGGGGCTTTTAGACGTTTTGGCCAGACTCCATTCTGAGCTTCTGGTTCCTATTATGTGCCCAAGTCATCCTCCCAGTTTTGCTGTAATGTTGCTTTTTTTTTTTTTTTCCCTAATGCCTTAGCAATATTTTTCTAATATTAAATGAGACTTTTTCCCCTAATTAAAGTATCAGTTCTAATAATCCAAGTAGTAAAATCTTTTCTTATGTAACTGTCTACTGGATAAAATGTTTTTTGGCATAAAGGTTGAGCAGTGCTGTGGTTCTTTAGAATACTAAATAGCAATTTTGATCTGACCTTTGGGCTTCGGCTATGCTGTGCTTAGTTTGTTATATATCAAGTGGTCCTCAAGCAGTCACAGTGCCTAATAAACTCGCTGTGCACCTGGTTTTCAATAAGCCACTTCCAATTTCTCCCTCATTTTCTGCTTATCAGGCGTATTTCTAATTTGTTTCGATGTTTGGCACTCTGCTACGGGTGGAAAATTGAAGTGAGGCAAGATTTGTAAAGAAGAGGTGATTTCTTTTATGAGACCAGCTGATACGGATGGGAAAAGCAGATGAGCCTTTAGGCCAGCGAACACCGTTTCAGACCGGGCGCTGCTGTCGCAGCAGCTCCAGAGCCATGCAAAGTTGCACGGGCTGTTTGCAGTCAGGCAGAACTGCGGAAGTATTTGTTTCACGCAAGCATGTCGCTCCTGATTTGAAGTGTAGAGAGCCCTTTGCCCTGCCGTTGTTGTACTCGCGTTGCCTAGGGCTGTCAGCGCTGTCAAATGGGCAGGGGCAGGACTGAGCCTGTCCGGCAGACGGATGGGTGGTGACCTCTCTCCAGATAGGATTATCTTCTTGGGAAGGTGCATCTGGGATGAAGCCGCGAGCGCGGCCGCTTCACGCCTTGCGGAGCAGCCGGAGCTAAGTGGCTGCTTGACACGGCCCCGAGACGAAGGGCTTTTGTGGCTGGCTTGTCTCAGGCGAAGTTCTTGAACAGCTCTGCTGCGTGGGGAGGGGGGGACAGCCCCGTAACGGCTTTTGCTTTTAATTTCTCAGCGGCGTTTTATCCCCTTGGCCTCGGGCTCGTGGCTCTAAGCGTGCAGTCTCCCTCATGCTGGTGCTTTCCTTCCCCTGCAGGGCGACATCCAGCAGCTCCTGATCGTGGCGGACCCCAGAGCAGCCCACGATTACTGCGAGCACTACAGCCCCGACTGCGACACCGCCATCCCAGACTCGCCCCAGTCCCAGGACCCCAACCAGGACGAATACGTAAGTAGAAAGGACGCGTCTTCTGTACGTGCGGGGGAAGAACCCGCCGAGGAAGCAGAGGGGTGGGGATGAAGGCTGCCTTCAGTGTCAGCCTACCTGTCAGCCAGCGGCGGGCCGGGCTCCGCAGACTCGCTTCTGTTCAGCGTTCCTGCGAATCATCCGTAAGTCATTGGCGTGTCTTGATTTTCATTCTCCTCCTGTGGTTACGGCGTCGTTTGGATAACGAAATCGATGGGAGCGCTCAAGTTGAAACCCTGCCATTTTTTTTTTTTCTTTCTTTCTTCTGGTCTACTGACCTCAACATGTTTTGTTCCTCTGCGAGACCAAGGCCATGTAGCCAGCGTGGGCACCCCAGAGCCACTGTTGCCACCCGTGAAGCAGAGCTTGTTTTTAGGGCTCGCAAGTTCTGATCTCAGCTCTGCTGCTGCCTCGGTTTTTGCCCTCAGGAGTTTTGTTTCATTTTTGTGCTCCTTCTGTTTCCAGCGAATAACAAGTATTTGCTTGGAGTTCAAAAGCCAACAGGAGACAGAGCCTGAGCTGCAGCTGAAAAACTGACTTTCCCTCACTGGTAAAATCGCATGCAAAACTAGCACCTATTTCTAAATTTTAATTTTTTATTCTTCCACATTTAAAAGATTAAGCAATTTTTTTTTTGATGCTATTTGAAAAAGCAGGTATGAGATGGGGGAATCCTATTTGCCTACGAGTTTGCCATTTCAATTTTATTTTGATAGAAATGTTCCAAGCTGGTGTGTTCTCCTATGTAAACTGCCATGCTGTACAGCTGCACTGCACTAGATAGGTTTTAGCCAAAGATCCTTTTATTTATTTATTTATTGGAAGACGGCTACAGAATACCTGTTTACTTCTGCTGCCAATTAAAAGTGTCTGAGTGGGCTTGATTTCCAGAAGGCTCCTTATAGCCATCACCTGAAATTTACACTTTTTTTGAAGGGATCTTGGGCTCACTCACACGAACTAAACTGTCTGGCATCCTCAGTCGCTTCTGAAAACCTTGGCTGCTCTCGCTGTCTGATTTGCAGGCACGCACGCGCCTGCTCGCTCTTCCTTTCGGCTGGTCCTGTGTCTGTGGACTTCTGCCGAATCCCCACGAAGCTGCGATGCTCCTGCTCAGACAGGGGTAGGGTGTGAATTCAAAACCTGCCTGCACCTCGAAGGGTTTTCGGGCTCGCCGGTGCGGGGTCTGGCAGCTCGCGGAGGCAGCTGGCGCCCGGTCCCGTCCAGCAGCCTGTTTGTTCTGCAGCACTGCCGAGCGAGGCGCAACCACGGTCTCTGCGCAGCAGGGAAGCGCCGTAACTGCTCCGCCAGCACGCTTCTGGAGAAACAATAAATAAGTAAAATAAAATAGACTCCAGTATGGTCAAAACATGGGGTAGTAGGAAAATAAAACTCTTCTTTTGGAGCCAGCAGTTCAACAAGGGCTGGCTTGTCTGCGCAGGGCCGTGTTGCTCTGCGGAGCTCTGTGCAAGAACAACTATTCCATGTGCTGGCGTCTCCTGCCAGTGAGACCAATGGACTGGCTAAGAAATTTGCCATGCCCAGCTGTAACCAAATGTTTTGTTTGTTTTTCATTTTGAAGAATGACTGACGCCTTGTGGAAAACTCTGAAAATATCTTGTTTTTGAAGCCATTTGGACCGCAGGCTGCGGGTGGATAGGAAGTCACACGTATGCTGTTATTACAGTCATATGAATGAAAATAGCAATGCTGCTTCTCCGAGTGGCTGCATAATTCAAGTTTTTTTCATCCCCTCTCTGAATACGTGAGATGTGACCTAGAAGGTCTCAGCAATTTGCGATGTAAAAAAATAAAAAAACCATAGCTTTTTTTTTCTTTTTTTGTTTTTTATTGTGTTATCACGAGTGACTAAATTCCATCAGGGTGGGTTCGTCCTCTCTCTGTTAAAGGAGAACCTGCCGCAGGACTATGAGACATTATCGGTGATCTCAATTCTCAGTAATTTTCAAAGCAGCTAAAAGCCCTGACCAGGCTGCGTGTGAAAGTGTCACAGAAGCTGGTGAACGAGAGGAAGGGAAACACATTGGTGTATGGGTCTGCACCACAGAGTAGCCCAGCTGACATGAAATCAATGCCCTCTAGAAAGAGGAGGCGCGGGATGCACTGGGGTGCTGCCTGTTTATTTCCTGCTTCTTGTGGTCTCTTTGCAGTACACTGATGGGGAGGGAGAAAGTGATACTTATTACTACGAATACCCCTACTACGAAGATGTGGATGAAGCTGTAAAGCCAGAAGCGCCCACCACCAAACCTAGCACTTCTGAAGCGGCTGCTGGAGAAGGACCTGAAACCAAGCAGGTACTGCTGTGGAGTCCTTGCAGAAATACGGTCAATACATTGCACCTTTATGGAGCAATAAGTGGGGGGAGGGAGGAGAAGACGTAGATATCCACTTAGTTTCTCTGATTCTGGTGTTTTAATTCTTTTTTTTTTTCTGCGATAGGACTACCCTGCCCCCACTCAGTCCCCTGATGGAGTGGACCCTGGCAAGGAGACGAAGGAGGATCATACTGTGGACGACCCCCTTGTGGATGAGTACAACTATGAAACCATCAACGAGGAGTACTTTACACCTCTGCCTTATGAGGATATCAACTACAACGAAGAATTAGACCCCCAGGGTGGACTTACGGAAAATGCTGTTGAAGCTGAGCTCCCCACTAGTACAGTCATCACCTACAATGAGACCGATGTAATTTTTAACGAATGCTTTTTCATTCACTTTGATTTTTATCAATTCTGGTATTTCATAGCCCTCAGAGAAAGGCGATGTGATAGTCCATATGGTAAAGCTTTAAGAGATTTGGGCAGCTGTTGGAGTAGGGAGTTTCTTGTAAAATAGTATCACTCCAGACACTTATGGGTGTGGAGTACAGATATGTAGAATTTGGTTGAGGATTATTCCCCTGGAAAAATCCGTTCTTACTGACATCAGCATTTCCTGTGAGAAGCACTTCTGTGACAAAAAGAAAAATAAGGGGTAGTGTAAAAATCTTAAGACAGACCATTTTATTACAAGAACCATTGCTATAAATCCTTAAAATGTTGATTTGATAGGGAACATCAGTATTTTTCATTTTGCTGCTCTCAGTGCATAGTATTTTGACATTTTTCAGGTTGTAGCTTTTAAAAATTTTTCACCATTCAAAAAAGCCACCTTGATTTCAAACTATTAAAATTGTGGACAGATATTCCATTTTGTGCACAGAGCTGCTAAAAAATGGTATCACTCCAGTTCCCTCAGTTGACGTTCTGTGGAGCAATTACATTTTTAGTTACCCACGCTTAATATGCTTCAACTGAATCATGTTTTTACTTGTGACTGTTCTACCCTTTAGACTTACGCAGTTGTTGCTTTTTAATATTGATGCTCAAATAGATGAATATTGCTCACATCCTCAGATCATACTGAAATAAGTTTCCATACACCTGCGCATCTGTGTATCTCACCATGCAAGGAAATAACTTCATGTTAGACGAGGCATCTTTTTCATTGTCCAGGATCATCAGCAATTGGATTCAATGGTGGGATAATATTTCCTGAGAGATGTGTTTGAGCTTGGCGGTTTTGCGGTTCCTACTTGAATAATAATAGTAATTTAGTTATGGCACTGTCAAAAATCAAACCTTTCTGGGACACAATGAAGGGTGGCAAAAGAGTCAGCAAAAGGTGGTTAGAACAATTGGAGTTGGACCTGCAAGCTCGAATTAAGTGGAAAGTGTCCAACCAAAGAGCTGCACAGCTGGAGCAAGACAGGAGGGGAGCCAGCTCCAGCTGAGGGCTGATGGCAAGACAGAGATCGAGCCCAGTCAACTGGGGATAAAAACTGCAGTGGAGGAGGAGATTGGACTGTCCAAAATGACACACAGAGAGAAATAAAAAACACTCTAGTGTATTGAGGAAGTGAACGCCAACCTGAGAGAACCAATGGATGAGAAACTTTCTTGCTTCCTGAAAAAGAGCCAGAGATCTTTGGCCCAGATAGAACTTTCTAATAGAGAGGAATTAAAAATTGGATATGCTGACCTTAAAAAAACCAAAAAAACAAAAAACCAAAAAAATTGGAAAGAGGAAATAAGAGGATCAAAGGCCACTTTAGTTGTTAGGACAAAGAAATTGAAGAGGAAGAAAGTTCAGGTAAGGAAATACACTGCAAAGCTTTCCTTTGTGAAAACTCAGCCTGCTTGCAGCAAATCATCTTAAAGGTGAGGGAGGGAACAAGCAAATTGTCTGCCTCAAGCAGCTCAGCAAGAGCCAGCAGTGAAACAGGGAAGGCTGTAAGACTGCTCCTGGGATGGCTGGTGGTTCCAGTTGATCAAGTGAATCATTTAGCAGAGGAGCAGAGAAATGGATGCAGCTGGCCCTGCCAAGGGGACCTTCCCATGCACCAAGGTGAAAGCTAATGCAGTGTGACGTAGCAAAGACTCCCAGATAGTGACAGCCTGTGGTATGACTACCCAAGAGGATATGTGTTTCAAGATTTACACCTGGAAGTGGAAGCAAAAGGCGCTGCAGGCGGCCTTGAACTCTTAGGAGAATTGAATCCTTTAATCCTGCAGCAGACCAAGCTGCTTATGAGCATTATGGCAGTGAGGATCAGGAGTCTTGTGCCTCTAATTGCCTGCCTGCTACCTGTTGTTAGAAGTAGGATTTCAGTAGGAGATAATGGACTGCTGAAGTGATTCAGCTGGTTAAAAAAGCAAACATCATTTCAAAAGTTCCTCTTCTAGTTTAGGCAAGAGAACAGTGCTCATTGCCACGAGTGAGCACGGCCTAATTTGGAGTAGTCCCAGGTTTCTGCTTGCAGCCAAGGAAAGGCAGACTGAGCCCTTAAACAGCAGAGCCTGTGCCGGGTAGCCGTTAGCGTGAAGGTGCAAACGTGCAGTATGGAAGAGGTGAGGCTAAGAGCCGCCATATCCTCTTACCTGCCAGGCGGTGCCATTCCCCGAGGTCAATGTAGGAGACAGGTTATGGGATCAAACAGGATAATTCTGGTCTGGTGCAGAATAGTGATTCTTAGCATCCATTCACAGACCTGTGAGGAGATCAGGATGTGTCGGCTACTGTTGAAGGTGACCTGTCTGTATTCTCGGGAAGACTGTAGTTCCTACAGTTAGAATTATAAGGGAATTTAGTTTGACAAAAATGAAACGTTCTGGAGGAAGGTTTAGTCAAGGAACTCTTGTCCAGGCTTGGATTTCACTGTGGCTAATAGCTGCGTGATAAATGCCAGTGAAGCAATTCTGAGACTCAGCGTGCAGCAATGCTCCCGTGAACACCAGCAACTGGGGACAGATATTTTGTTTGTTGCCTGCTCTTCATCAAGCAGTTTGCTTTACTTGTCCAGATGTACGTACCAGGGCTTCATACCTGCCTTGGTTTCCCAAAAGGGAAGATTAAAAGGCGATTTAAATGAGACTGTTAACAACTAAGGAGAATTGCAATATTTTGCATGATAATTTTGACCTCGTTTTCCTTCTGGACTACTTACTGATTCAGGTTTCCTACTAGCATTTTTGAAAGATTATTCTTCAGGGTTTCCTACCACCACTAAGTGCTGCAGATCTCAGCATGTGGAACCTTTCCCCTGTCCAGTTATTCAGAATATTATATCTTTACATGCAAATTGATTTAGAGGTAATAAGCAATATATCAAAACAGTCATTTTGAAGTTAATGATAAATGCTATTTGAAAGAGCTTACTATGTTATTTCTGAAAGCTTTATAACAAGATATACAGGTTTTAAGGTTTCAAAATGCAAACCTAGGTAATAGGTTTTGAACAGGATAAAAGAAGTGTGATAGTGCAAAATCTATTTACGTGGAACAAAGGAAAAGCAATGCTAACTTTTCTAAGTTTTTTAGTTGAGAGCTGCCACCAAGTTGTCGTTTGGAAAAAAATAAGTCCTTAAATATAAGCTGCAAACTTCTGCTATGTCACAAAATGGATCTAGAAGCAGCTCTAGTCTATTCTCTTTTTATAGCTCTAGTCTATAGCATAATGATATGCTATCTACTACCATTTTCAAAAAGATTTAGAGTCCACTTATGAAATGTGTCAGAACCTGTAACCAACCTCTGACCTCATCCAGGCTTTGGTTAAGAACAGTGGCTAGAGATTTTTACGTGAATTACTGGCAAAGAAACTTGCTTTTAAGGCTTCCTACTCTTTACTATGAATGGACAATTCACTATATGCTATAAATCAGTCAAAATCATTTTCCAAATGGCTTTGAGAAGTTGGCAATAGTATAGCAAATGGAAGGAGGAGGAGAGAGCTGCAAGGTGTTGAGAAAGGACTTTTCTGCTGCAGGGTCAAGGCTATGAAATTTTATGTTGCCCTTTTGGATCATACCTCTGTCCCCAGTTTTTCAGTTCTCTGATCCAGAAAAATATGAGACAGGGTGATTTGTCATGAATTTTTCCCCATTAATCAAATGATCAAACGGGCAGGGATAGGAAGTGATACAGAAGTGGCTAAATCTCTGAATATTTGCAGCCAGAGAGAGTTTTTTAAGGCTCTTTCCCCTATTACTGATGGATTTTCTGGTAGAGCAACACGTGGATATTTAAGAAAAGATACCCTTATAGCAATTGCCAAACTAGAATTTCTGCTAAGAACACATGGTATTTGCGGAGGTGAGAGAAAAAAAAAAAACAAACCAAGCCCAAGCGGTGGTGAGTGACTGCCTTAGATTCCCCTATTACTGATGGATTTTCTGGTAGAGCAACACGTGGATATTTAAGAAAAGATACCCTTATAGCAATTGCCAAACTAGAATTTCTGCTAAGAACACATGGTATTTGCGGAGGTGAGAGAAAAAAAAAAACAAACCAAGCCCAAGCGGTGGTGAGTGACTGCCTTAGATTTTGGTTTATTCTCATTTCAAAACCTCTTGCACATTAGCTACAGATGCTCACGCTTATGGATTCTGAGCAGTTTTGGCACAGACACAAGGTCTGGAAGTGATGGTGGCATTTAACAGTAATTTTGGATTCTTAGTAATGAGCATATAATTTTTCTTGGAAGCATTGAAAATGATTCAGTTTATGGATCATTTTGATCGTTACCTGGATGGGAAAGAAGGAAAATAAAATAATTATCAGCACATATTCTTCTTTATAATGCTGTTCAGGCTGAAAGGTGCCAAGGGGCAGTTGGCTTAAGAGGCTGCAGAAAGTGCAGGAGTGTGATCTCATTATCACACACAGACCTGGACAGATGCAAGGAAATTCTGGTATTTATCTAGATGTCCTTGTCTGTGAACTATAACATCTGTTGCTTTGAAGATTCAGAAAGGACTTGAGGATTATTGCATCAGATTTGCAGTAACTTCTGTTCCTGCTCTTAGGACAAGCACAACTGCAGCCTGAATCCCAGACTAAACAAACAGGAGTTCTTCGTATAAGCAAACTTAGATTTTTCCAAAGTCCATTCTGTAACCTGATAATCATAACAGCACATTGCATTTTGATACAAATTTAAAATATGAGACTGGATGTGTGACCTTTTTATGCCTAATAATCTAGTGACTGCAGTGTTCAGGCTATGAGAAATTGGCTGGGCCTGGAGTCTGAAACTTCAATTTCATGTTTCTTCAGACGTATCTAGTGCTTGTGGTGTGCTGGGGTGCTCCTGTCATGAGTTACTGCTTTGTGCTGTGTTTCGTTTTCCTCAATCAGAGTATGACACTTGCAGCGTGTTTCATAGAGGGATGGGGAATTCCTGGGAAACCCCAGGGTATACACTTAGACGTGAACATCTTCCCATCCTTCTTTCTTAACCCTGGAGAAGTCCCTTAGGGGTCACTGGAGACCTTTAAACTCCAGACTCTAACTTTTATTGTACTTTTTATTTTCAACCATTATTCTAAAGCTTTTCTGCCTAGCGAAAAACCATAACCTTGCCCTTAGATTTTCAGGACGCGCAGCCTAAGGAAGCGTGCAGCTTGACGTGTTGCTATTCCTGCTTTCAGGCTGGTCAAGGAGGAGACGACCTGGATAAAGATTTCACCGAGGAAACAATAAAAGAATATGATGGGAATTACTATGATAACTACTATGATCGGACAGTCTCCCCTGATATTGGGCCGGGAATGCCTGCCAACCAGGACACCATCTACGAAGGGGTAAGAGAGTGCAGGTTAAGTTTTCCAGCCTCCAAACAATATCAAACCTAAAACTAATTCAAAATGTTTATCTTCCCACAGTTAAACCATAGGAATCAGCAGTGGATTCATCCACCTTGAAATGGATGTGTTTACCCAGACTAGGAAGAGATGCTCTATTTCTTTTCTATACAAATATTGACAGTCCTCTGGTTGCATAATTCTCCCCAAGTTTTATGGTTCCTGCTCAGACTCCAGCTGATGGGGCCAATGATGTCCTCTTTTCCTTTTTTGTTGTATCTTGTAGATCGGTGGCCCACGGGGTGAGAAAGGACAGAAGGGGGAGCCTGCGATTATTGAACCGGTAAGGACAACCTTCTTTTTCAAAGGAAAAAGGCACAAGGGGTGTGTGCTCTGCATGATTTAGTACTCTCAGTGGAACAGCTGCATGAAAAATTTCCTGTGGAACAATTACTTGGTTATTTAAAAATCTTTTAATGTAAAATAGTCAAATTATTTTTTAAATTTCAAGAAGCAAACTACATTAGGAAGGAAGTCCAAGATTTCCCATGGAATCTTTTATTTGCCAAAGCAAAACCCATTTAAAATTGAAGCAACAGGCAGAGAAAATTTCTCAGCTTTCCAGTGGCTTTGATGTGCGCACAGGCTTGCCGTGAACCCGCTCCCCCGAGCTCCGACTGTTGGTGGCCGGGTCATATCCTGATGTCACCTTGCAGCTTGGGTCCGGCTTTAATTGTTTCTTTGCCTGCTTCCGTTCCCTATCAGGCTTGCGTTTCTGGAGAAACCTTGCGTTGTCCCGGGAGCCAGACCCAGTACTCTTTTTCTTTACTATTCTGTCCGCACCAGTTGCCCTGGTCTGTTTTTGAAGCTGTTTTCCTTCCTAAAGGATAATTGTAACAATGCCTGTGGCTTTCATAGTCTGCAAAAACACAGGTGCGCAACTGAGCAAACTCTTAGGTGAGGACCAAGCTGGATAATTTCCACCTGGCCCCTCTCACGCTGGGCAAAGATGCTTGGCCTGGTATTTCAGAGAGTTTCTTAGCGAAGAGCTGTTGTTGCTCGTCGCCTCTGAGCAGCGAGGCTGCAACCAGAGCTCAGCCAGCAGTTTTAGCTGGTGAGGTGCAAAGCAGCCTCAAGTGGAAGCTCTTGCCCCCCCTTACTGAGCTGCCCTCCTGGGGTTAACAGCAGCGGGTATTTGCTCGAAAGTTGCCCGCTGAGCGGGACGAGGCAGGAGCAAGAGGCCGATGGTTCTCGGCCGCTTTTCCTGTCCGTTGCTGCGCTGCAGGATGCCCGGTTACCTCTGTGTCCGCTGCCTCCTCCGGGCTGGAAACGTGGACGTTTGGGCCCTTCCAATTACCACCATTCAGCCTCGTCCCCGGGGTCCCCGAAGGCCGAGCGCACGCTCACTGCACACCAGCAACTCAATTAACCTAATTTTGACTGGCAGAGTGCCAGCGCGGCACCCAGGGAGACGACGGCCCTTCCCAGCGTTTGGCGCCCGTTATTTTCCTTTTAATTCCTTCTCCCTTTCCTTCTTGCCTGATGCTTTTGCCGGGGGGAGGGAGGAGAGGAGATGCAGCAGCAGTGTTTTAAAAGCCCAAACCAGTTCTTTATAAAAGCATTTCCGACCCTTCCTTCCTTCCTTCACTTCCTTTCTGGGTCCTGCTCTCTTTCTGCAAACAAAGGGAGCGACGGGAGCAATTTGTTTAACGGAGATGTGGGCAGGGCGGGGGGCGAAGAGAAAGACGTGAACAAAGCTGCTTAAACTCAGCCTGCCCTTGTCCAGAACCAATCTGAAAAGTTACAAAGCGAACAAAATAGTTAAGTTTAATCATCCAGAAAGAATTTGGCTGCCTTCGCTATTTCAAAACACTGGAGCATATATAGCTTTTGCCAGAAAGTAAACAAGACCAAATGCCGCCTTTTCCCTCTCTGCTGCTCGGTTCCCGTTCAGCTGAGAGAAATTCAGATTTGCTGCACTCTTTATCTTTTTTTGATCAGAGCTGCAGCGGAGAGAGGGAAATCAAAACCAAACCCAGCGGTCGGGTTCTGCTGAATTCTCTCTCCCTCCTTTCGCTCAAACCATCCGTCTTTCAATCCTTACTCTGTGCTGACGCTCGCTGGAGGCAGCAGGGCAGCGCAGTCCGGAGCGCGCCGGAGGCCGCCCGCTCGGCAAACGGCAGGGTCGCCGCGAAAGGCCCGGCTACCGGGCTGCCTCTGCGTGGTCGAAGCCTTTGCTCTTTCACGGATGGATGATGCTGGTGCTTGTGGCTGCCTTAATTCGGGGTGGGGTTTTAGGTGAGGCTCGTTCCTTCGAAACAAGATCAGTCGCTGGGGCCGTTTTGCCCGTGGCAGGGCCTGGGTGGGAAAGGCACCCCTTTTCCTCCTTGGATAATCCCAAAGCTGCAGTTTGCTTGCTGCATCCGAGCCGCTTCTCCGCGGCCTCCCACCTCGCTGCCCCTCTGGTCCCAGTGCCTCCCACTTTTCCCATCGCTCGCGTTGATGAGCGATAATGTAAACAGCGGAGATTTCTTGCTGAGGAGAATGTCCAGATGTCCCTAAAGCTGGAGCTCAACGTAAACCAATAGATAAATATGGGAACATGCCAAGGCTGTTTGCATCCTGAGCCGGCTAATTAGGCCGAACTCTTCCCCCTTGCAGAGCAGTGTCCCTTGCCTCGGCAGCTGGCTGCGGGAAGCGGACCCGTGGGGCAGCGCCTGCTCCAGTGGTGGCGAAGCTGGCCTGAATCCATAAAAGCCCTGGGCAGCGTATGCAGGCTGTGGCTCTCTGCAGCAGCCTGGAGATGCTTTTTAGGGTGAAGGGTTGGCATTGGTTTCCGTTTCTGAGCCTGCCGCACCAAAGCGGTG